GACGATTTTAAGTTTTAGATTTTAAACAGGACGGTCAAATGTCACTGATTTTACTACAGTGTAGGACAGATTGTAGGGTAGCAAACATCGCCGGAAAACAAGTTTTTTTACACCCAGCTTACCTGGGTGTAGAGATGGCACGATACCACTTTTTTATGTCCGATACCGACGTAATCAACTTTAATTTGATGCAGTGTGAAAAAAAAATGCACAGAAATCAATTATTTTTCTACAATATTTAAATAGATTCAACATCTTTCTTCAACAGAATTGCAGACTGCACAGATGGAACCTTCCCAAAGGAAAAAGTACTAGCTTACTAGGTATATAAGACTTAATAGTTACTATATACAGTAATGGAGTTCTATGCATTTTAAATCAGATTAAAGCTTTGGGTGTAAGATTCAGATAATTATTTATTAAAAGCTAGACATTTTAAATGAGAATAAGGAAGAAAAGTATGCCTTTGTGCCCCCCTTTTCCCTGTTAATGCCCTATCGGCCCCCCTGGCTAAACTTTGCTAGATCCGCCCCTGCACAGTTACCAGCCGTCAGCTCCGTAGAAAAGGATCCTGGTGTAGAAAGTAATATTAAATAAATTCTAACAACGGCTTATAAAGCTTAAACGTGCTGCTGTTGTTCAGCTGCTGGTTTCTTCTTTCTGGCGTGAACAAACAAGAGAAACGGACTCGCGACAGAAAAGTCGATCAGCTGATCATTAATCAGTTTCATGATTGAAGTAGCAGCAGGAGAGGGAGGGAGGGAGGGAGAGAGAAGAGGCAGTTGCTCCATATATCGGTTGTTGCTAAACGCTGGAATGCTTTACAAACATTCAGAGATGAACTTACACATTTGCTTCACTTCTCTGGGATAACTTTCTCGGAGATGAAATGCCGGTTTGGTAGCGAGGCTCCAAATGCTCAACTAGACCACCGACATGTCCGGCATGCCACAGCCGTTTTGTGAGGTGCATTTTTCATATTTAATGGATCAGATTACATTTTTTATTTCTCTCCGATATCCGATCCATTAATTTAGGTCAGTATCGGACCGATACCGATACCTAATATTGTACAAAGAGTTGAGTCAAAGTGTAAGTGAAAAGTATAGCATCTTAAACCAGTATTTCTGGTTTTCAATGACATACTGTACACATAGGATAAAGGAGTGGTCTGAAAGAGAAGATCACTCCCCTCAAGTACTGCCCCTTCTCATGAGAACTACTTATTACCCGAAAAGAAACTAAACTAAAATTCAGTTGTTTCTGACCATCACACAATGCATATCCTTGTGTTGATCCTTGGCACTGTGCTGCTTCCTGCAGGCAAGTTTTTAGTTCAGTTATTTCTTGTTTAGCCTTTTCTTTTCAAAGATGCGTATACTAACTTTCACTTACAGATTTTCCTTTTTAATGCTTTTACAATGTATTGTTACACCCCACTACACATTTTCCTACATTTGCCTACAAATTCATGCACTATTTCTTATGCTGTTGTCTTTCTTTTAAAAAATATTTTTTTTATTTATACCAGTGAATGTTTTAGAATTTGGCCGTGCAGTGCTGGCAAGAAAAGTTTATTTAACGTATCTTTGTTTTATCAGCCTATGCGTTGAAATGTTACGAATGCATACCAGCATTATTAGGAAGCTGCACTGAGACAACAAAAGATTGTCCTTCCAATACTCAGTGTGGTTCACTGAGAACCATTTCATATACAGGTAATATGGTACTTTATAGTTCTTACTTTATTCTTTTTTGAACTGTTCTGTTTTCAATGGTTCCTCTTTGGTTGCAGGTGGTTCAAAATCTGATGTTAAAATCAAAACGTGTGTTGGGGCTGAACAATGCTTCAATGGCTCACTCAACCTTGGATATCTCCAAACTGTAATTACCACCACTTGTTGCACCTCTGATCTTTGCAACTCCCAAGATGCTCCCGGTAATTTGAATCATGTTTTTTGGTATTTTGAAATTGTACTTGGTTTTGTGGGAACTCAATTTTTCTATGATGCGCAAAAATGTAAGAAATTAAGTACTTTGGATTAATGAGTCTAATTTTACTGATTAACTGGAGAAAGTTCTGGAGTGAGTCAGGAGGAAAATTTCTTTTTCCTTAGTCACCATGTTGTTCTGAGGGTCTGAGGGCACAGTGACCCCATCTGTGTAAACGTTCTTAAAGAGTGTCTCATTATCACTGACAGCAAAAGCAGTAAAACCTTAAAATATTTTAAAATGATCTCAATAATTACAGAGAATAAGCATATTAATAACAAACATATACATTTTTTATATCTGATTTTTGTCACTTAGCTAAAATAAGCAGTGAAAGAAGTAGGGCTGCTCAGTTAATCGAATTTTAATCTCGATTACGATCTGGGCTTTCAA